TTGTTGGTATGACCATAATTGGCAGCATCGTTGGTGGTGCTGCCGATGCCGGTGGTGCGTTTGGACCGCATTGCTGCAGCAGCTCCATTTGGCACATCTCCTCATAGCTGAGTGGGCGCAGGTGCTCCATTTTGAGCGACGAGTGGGCGTGGCAATTATAGACTACTCCACTTTACTTTAATTCACTACACCTTTTCACATAGGCCAAAACACACACAGTTGCAATCGCAGATACACAGACAAAAACACACACACATCCACATACGCATAGACGCATGTGTGTATACACAGAGTCTGTGAGAAGTATCTCTGCACAGGAAGTGCGGGGGTGCGAATTTGAAACAGATTTGGCGCGCGTTCCTTTTTAACCGTTTCTCACATGACGCTTTTTGTGTGTGCGCCGTGGCCAACTTTATCTCGCGACAGTCCTGCAGCAACTAAATTTCAAGCTGCCTGATAATTCTCACAAACTCTCAATTCGCCGCGGCCATTTTGTGCAGCGCTCGCGCATGCGTCCAATAAAAACAGAAGAAACTCTTTCAAGTCGACTTCGACGTCGCCACTTGGCGTTTTGTTTTGATTCTGGCTTGTGGGCGAGACGGAAGCGTTGTGGGTGCCCAGTCCTGCTCAGCCATGGGGCACTGTAAAGTCTTTTTTTTTTGTGTTTGCCGTGTCGAGGGAAATTAAAATACTTGCAGCAGTAGCGGGTAGACTAGAAAGCAAGATTTTAATTGCCGCACCGCGAGATTCGCGTCAGTTGAGAATCTGTAGTAGTGGCCAAGGATTGCGGCCATGGTGCCCAGCTGTGCAACCAACTGTTGGCCCAGCTGGGGCCAGTCGCTGCATGGTCAGCTGAATGGACCTTAATTGTGACACATTCAGTCAGCAAGCATTGTTTAGAATTTTAATTTAAAATGTAAATTCAGCAATACTTTAAATAATTGCTTTTGGCTGCAAATGAGATTTCAGCTTATTGTATACCCTGTTGTACACATTAATGAGTATATATAATAGTTAAAACTTAGAACCAACAATCAGGACAAGCGACTTACTTGATTTAGCCTACATATCCTACTATCAGACTGGTTGGCGATCACGAAGAGTATATAATACTTAATTAGTTAATTATTTATTCAGCTATTCATATAAGAAATACTTTACATCTGTTCCATATGCTGCTGTTTGGCAACCAAGGACTGGGATTATTTTATTTTTTTAATGCCATTCAGCGATTCTCTAAATATGGAAAACAAACTAATTTGCTTATTCGTTTCCGTGTAATTCAAGGAAAACAATCTCGTGATTGAGTTGGGTACATAGTCAAATTACTTATAGAAATGTGTGTTCGCTTAATGTATGTACATATGTTTTGCGAAGTATGTATGTACAAACATGTATATACAAATATTTCTTTGTCCATTTTATACAGTCGCAATTTTCTTTTTGGGCCCCAAGTGGAGAAGCAGACTGAAGCCCGCGGCGCGTCATCGCGTTCCTTTTGTGGACAAAGGGACAAAGGCACAAAAAACACAGTTGGAAATGTCTTCTGCAGCATTTGCTTGAACTTTTTTTTGTTCTTTTTTTTTTGAAACGCTGGCACAGCCTTCGTCACAGAGCCGCGGTCTCCTGTGCCTTAGTACCCGTTTCCAGCTTCATTTACATTTGTTTCATCCTATTATCTTGGTTAACCGGCTCGTATGCTCTCTCTCCCTCTCTCTCTCTATCTGTCTCAGCGTGTGTGTGTGTGTGTGCGTGAGTGGGTGCGCTCTATAGGTCCTTCCGCTCTGGTCCCGCCAGTTGGCAATACAGTCGTGGCGGGACTGCCTGCCTCCGTGTACCCCGCCATTTGTCAAGTATTGCGCCCAACTCGACTTTTTGTAATTACAAAAGCGCTGTCTGGCAAGGGGGTTGGGAAAGAGGCTTAAAAAGCAGCGTGTTGGGTTTTTGTGGTGCTCGTTAAAATTTGTTGCTCTCATTTCGATTGTTCATCGCATGGTTGTTGCTGTTGGTGTTGGTGCTGCTGTTTTTGGCATTGTTGCTTCCGGTTTTAGTGCTTTTTTATATCGAAGTAGCGGCAAAGTTTACGCTGGATTGAAGGTGAGTATTTTGTTTAAATGTGCGAAACGGACTTAAGAGCTGTTCTGATTCCAGCCCTCATTTCCAGTGATTTAACGCGATTGCTGATTTCACTACAAGCGCACATTAATGCACATTCAATTTTCCGGATAGCGAGCAATTAAAAGTTTTTCATCAGTTGCTAACTTGGGGGCCGGACAGCATCGCATAATACCGTTGCCCAAAAGTATGCAGGCAAAAATGTTGGATACATTTTGCTGTAGCATCATTTAACGGCTGGTTAACCCCGCAAACTGTTGAAAAACGGGGTCATCCACGCTGGACAAGGATCGTGCATAATTTGAGTGCCATAGACTAAACTGGAGTCAAGTGATAGCGGTTAGCTGAAAAATCTAAGCTGTCAAAATGACGGCACTCAAACATAAATTATTCCACAACGACAAACACGCTATGTTACATTTGCTGGGCATAGGTTTTACCTTTAAATTGGGTAATTTTATCATACGATATCCTTGTAGTCATATCAAATGTTAAAAGTGTTCTATGTCTTATTTTTGTATTTGCACCGGCAACAATATACATTTTATTTGGTTCAAGTTGCCGCCACCCATTTTAACAACAAGCAAGTCTTCAAAAAGCCGTGAATTCCAAAGAATTTACGGCTATTTCAGTAAAGAGAATTTGCTTATAATGGCACACAATGTAAATTATTGGCTCATATGCTAAATGCTATGCAAAAGTTTGTCATTTTGCTTCATTGTCTCCTATTCGGTGCCATGAAGAAAGAAACAATGCACGATAGAGAGAGACAATTCACTTTGCTCATGAATAATACACTAATTAAGTCACCTGTTATGAGGGGCTTAACAGCATAATACATTTTGATTGCCGCAAATGGAAATATACCTGCGGGCTTGTCACAACAGATACACCTGCAGTGTGTAGACACACAGTGGCATGTAGCCAGATTCAGTTGTTGCAGCTGTCTGGCTTTGCCTTTGCATAATCAAACAGTATTTGTTGAATGACAATTTCAATTCTTGCGTTCTGAAGCTTTGTTCGTAACTGCGTGCGCGAATTTAAATGCCAAATGGCAATTGGTTGTGCTGGGCACATGTGCATTGAATGTCAGTATAAACCATGTAATTGTAAACGAGATGGGTGAGAATTGCGTACAGAATAGTACGAGACATGTCTGCCTATTTTACGCAGCGATTGAGCTCTTCCTCTTCAAGCTCGTGATCACACCATTAATATGGATCGATATCGATAACGCATGTTAAGTACATAGTTGCATGTTATGTAACATATGATCGATCGATATCGATAACGCATGTTACATATAAAGTTGTATGTTATTTAACAGATGTTATGTCACAGTCTTAGTACTACGTCACTAGTAGTATAAATAAATAATAATAATATATTATATTGACATGATAAAGATATAACCACTTCTGATTACTAGATTTTCTGCTTTGCGATATTTGGAATGGCCATTAAGGCCAATTAGGCATTCTGATTAAGTAATTTTATTCTCATTGGCTTTAAATTACTTGCAAGAGATGTTGAACCTTAACATCAGCTGAACCTAATGACTTTGGCTTTCACTGATTCTAATGCATAAATGCGTAAACACAACCACTGCTGACACGTTTTCTCATTTAAGACACATTAACCACACTCAAACACACACACACACACTTACATAAACTTACAAAAACACACACCCATTAGGGACCCAACCCAAAACAGCTCTGAGCTCGACAAGAACTCAGCATGCCTAAAAACTTTATTCGCCCGCCTAGCCGGTGAGCTCTTAAATTAAATCACAAAATAGAGATTGAGTCGGTATGGTAACCGGAGCGACAACTAAACCAAATAAATGAACCCTTTTGGGTAAACTCCTTGGTGTCCTTGCGCGCGTCCTTCTGACTTCAGCCAGATAAAAGGCAGGCAGAACAGGAAGTCAACTTGAATGCCGGACGATGTCGATGGCGATGACGCCGACGGCGACGCCTCGTGTTTTGCTTGGCAATTCGGTTGCCAAAAAAAAAGGATAATGGCATAAAATCCAGCAAAATGAAAAGAAAGCGGCAAATCATGTTAAGAGATTTAAATTGGATTAGGTGACGTGTGTGGTTGAGCCGTGGCCTGGGTGCGAACTCGCGTCGGCCGTGATGCCACTACCACACTGCACTGGATCTGGACGAGCACTCTCAGTCGTCTTGACATCAATTTTGTCACTGAATTCTTGCACATTTTTTTTCTGCTGCTGTTTTATTTTTTTTTTTTGTTTTGTTGTTATTTGTGCTGTGTTGTTTTATTTCGCTTTGTTTTGTATTTGTACGCTTGACACAATTCGATGTCAAGTGCCGAGAACACGAGTGTCTCTCAAGTGTTCAATGGCATTCATCCCATTCATCTGCTCTTTAACAGCCGTCGTGTATATGGATTGAGCTGAAAAAGTTTTGAGTAGTGTTGCAAGTTTAAGGTTCCACCGGCAATGTAAATACGCTATCAAGTGGAAGCATCTTGAAGAACAATTTTCTTATTGTTTGATATTTGAGCTGCCAAGCCTAGTAACAACCTCGTTTTAAGTCGAATTCATTAATATTTTAGACTAGTAATGCGAAACTACAGCTCATATTTAATTTACTGTCAATACGTTAATCTTTGATGAACCGGCAAAGGATTTGCCATCAACTCTCAGTTGCTACCTCACACACATTATATTTTCAATATTTGATGATTTGTCAAGCCGTCAAGCAGACAATTTTCCTTTAGGCTTCTCCTTTGGGCTAGATAAATTTTATAAAAAAAACTTTTGTTGTATAGATTTGAACTGAATTTAGTTCGTGTTGCTGACTTCAATCGCTGTATAGCATTTTGATTTCTTTATTGTATTGATAGCATATTATAAATTACAATATAAATTAATTTTTATTATTCTCCTTTGCTTCAAAGAACACTTACATTACAACTTTATGATATGGTAATCATAAATGAAGTACAGCATTCAATACGTAATTTATATATTAATAAAAAACTCTTTTTTATTCTTTAAATACTGCCTTGGACTTTTTTGTGTTCATATACAGGTTATAAAGACTCAATGCTTTGTTAAACGAAATCTTCGTTTGCCCATCCGGTTTCTTACTGTACTTGACTCTGGAGGTATAAATGTCGAAGCCCAAACTTACGAAATTATCGTATAACACTCGGTATTGTGGGGCAACAAAGAAAAAGTTGATCAATTGTGCAGCTGGCCCCACTGTCCACTCAGCAAAGTACAGCGTCAAGGCTTTGCTTCTGATCTCGTCCTTAACTTCATCCCAATTGTTCTGCTCCAATAAGCCCATCGTGAGGAAAAAAACACCGATATAAAACGGTGAGCAAATGAATTGATCCAGCAATATTTTGTACACCACCGTTTTCAGCGTCCGCTTGGGATAATAGTAGTCCAGATACTGGTACCAGTAGTGACAAACAAAGCCCACTGTCAATCCCGAGATACCCATTCGAACTGTACGCGTGCGATTCCAGCCATCTATCTGGTCCTTGTATCGCTCGAATGACTGCTCTAATGTGTCACCCATCATGCTCAGGCCAATTGAGATGCCCACATTCGTATAAAGCAGGAATCTCTTGCTAAAAGCCACATTGTGCCAGCGGCTAAATGTGCATTTTACAATCTTCCACCGATCACGATATGGCATTAAACTATTGTTGGTTGTCGAGCAGGGCAGATGCCCCCTTTAAAACATGAACAAATTTAAATTTAAAACTAGACTTAACAGTATTAACATTTTGTATTTTGAAAATTGACATATGATTAAATAATCGATGAATTTCGTAAATTTACTTTTTTGATTTTTAATGAAGTGCATTAGTCAACCGAAACTTGTGCGTTACACAATCCGTGACAAAATTAAAGCACCCTCTGCAAGGGTAATAAAATGGCAAATACAAAGCCACTTTAAGGACATTTAAATGCTAAGAATCGAATAAGGAAACAAATCAATTTGCCGCCATAAAAGCAAATTAGTTTTTTTTTTTGCCAAGATTTAGCAAAGTTCGGTCGAGCGACAGAAATGGCATGAAAATTGGAAAAACTCGTATTTGTATGCATATTAAAGGGTTAAGCTCGTCTGCGGTACCCCCAAAAAGTAAGAATTGCCTTTGAAAACATCAACGTTGGGAATTTGAATAACTCCACATTTTTTTGGCACATGTTGCGTCAGATCCACTTTGTTTTTTTTTTTTGCGTGTCAGTGAGTTGATTCTGACAAATCAGTTGCACGCGATTCCCAATACTTTTTAGAATGTCCCAGCGACCGCAGCCCTTCGCCCTGGGGAAATCATCTCTCATAAATATGCTCCGCTCGACCGTACGAGCGACGAGTCGAGCTATTGAATTGAAAAATATTTACGGCATTCTACATTTTACGCTAAAATCCAATTTTATTTTTATATTTCGTCGAAAATCCGCAATAAAACCCACTCACCCACACACGCACACACAGAATGGAGCCTCCGATCCGTTTGCGGGACGGTTGGCGCCGAAACTGAGAGTTCTGTTCCCAGGCCATTTTCCAGTACGCACCAATTGAAAAACAGGCTCCATAAATTCAGCTTTACATTTTATTTGCATTTGGTGCCACAGATGAGCTTCTGTTTTCCCAAGTTCTCCCAGCAGGGGTGGAGAAACCTTCTATTTCAATCCTGGCAAATAAATTTATTTCGTCTCGTTCTTGTTGTTAACGCTATTTGCGCGTGTTAAATATTTGCTAATTGCGAGGTGGCCAAATGTAAGCACACGAGTGACTGGTTTTTATATAATTCATAGAAAAGTGCATAAATTAATTGGTGGTTGACGATGGTGATTAAAAACTAAATGAGTACTAGAAAAGTAAATGATAACAATCGAGAATAAACTCAGCTATTAATTAAAGAAGCTTTTTTCAAAAAGGTTGTTCAAATCCAACATTTATTTGATGACTAAAAATCTATTGCAAGGTTAAATTCTATGTTAAAAAATGTTGAGTGTTGTTACATTGCAATCCGTGTTTTTCCTCATTCGAAATCATTGTTCTTTTGTTCTGTGCCTTGCCTGCCGCGGGACCTAAACAAGTACATCAATCTTGGTTCTCGCCAGTTTTCATAAAGCTTAACAAAACCGGCGCAGGAATGAAAAATACCCTGCTCAACACCCATGAAAGCCTATTATACTTGTATATGTACACATAGATAAATACAGATAAATATATATGTATGTATATATATCTATATAAATGGTTTGTGGTGATATCAGGTTAATGTATTTAAATATCGGAAAAATTTGTGGCAAGTTGTACGAAAATTCTATAAATCATTTCGTCCATTCAAATGCGCAATATATTACATCCTACCATGAAATTTAATATTAAACAATAAACTTAAGCTTTTGTCTATAAATTTATTATCCCCATTTGGTTAAAAAACAGCAAAACAAAAAGCAACAAATGAATTTCCATAGTTTCTGCACTTTGCTATGCTGAATTTACATTTTTTGCATAGCTTTCATACCCTTCAGGGCGTTTTTTATATTTTTTCATGGAATGTGTAGCAGATTGAGAAATATGCATTTCGTGTCTCGAATTTTATCCACATTGATGTGTAGTTCTATGAGTTTGTAGAATATGTAATTGTTATCAAATACAAGCTGAACCATGGCGTATATTTTTCTGTATATATGTTCTACTATCCTTAAAGTTAAGTAAATCCAGCTTGATGCCAACTGGATTTGAACAAAATTGGATATTTGAGTCATGAACTTTGTCAATAAGAGTATTAAATGTGCAACACTCCAAAGATAACTGTTATTCCTTGATGCTTTTGTTATTGTTCGTTCCGCTCTCAATATTTTTTGGCATCGGGTTTTGAATGTCGTTCATGTGCGCATTTTAATTGAATTTTTTTATTTTGTACAATGAAAGCAAAAATGAAAAGTGTCATAATCCCATTTTCCTCCACATCAACTCCACATTCATTCTCCCCCGGAAAATCCCCTTACGCAAGTGAACAACGCAAACTAATCGAAAGAAATTCGCTTCTTGGCAAGAGTTTATCATTGTAATCATTTGCGACGTAATCTGACGACATACAAATCAAAATGGCGCGTTAGATGTATTTGGAAAATCAATGCCAAATTGGATTGCAATCGATTTTGAATGATATCTAATGATAAGACTCTGCCATCAGCCCTCTGTTTTTGTACCCCAGGATTTGTATCGACTTCGATTTATGGAAATAAAATTGAGATGTGTTTTTAATGAGAATTTGACACTCACAAAGCCTAACGATGATTCAATGTATAGAAATCAAAACAAGAGTAGTTTGTCCGATGGTAGGCAGACCGCTTTGAAAAGCCATTGATTTAACAAGTTTCTAAAGTAAACTTTCATTCAGATGTCGCAGTTGTGTATTGCTTTTGAATACAGTTTCCATATCCTTTCATTAATGTGCATTCAAAGGAGACGTATTTAATATTAACAAAAGTTATTTGAAGTTTTTGTTTATCGCCCCCGTAATGTAACGGAAATGAACATAATTTTCTTTGATTTACATAAAATTCAGCAATAATTTTGATATTAAATTATGTGAAGAATGCAAAATTTAATTACGTCGTAAATATAAATTTGAACTCAATTTGAAGAAACTTTAGTAATTATGATTTCCATTTCGCAGCTTAAAGTCAAAGGCCAACAAAATTGACTGTTTAATGTTTTCCGGATTAAAGTGCAGTCAAACTGAGGGGTCAAGCAACTTTATCCACATTTAAACTGCACCATTGAGCCAAATAAGTCAGTTCACTGTAAACGCAAACGAACAAATTGTCAACATGACGGCAATGCCATGCCAGTCATGCCAATTCCGTTAAAGCAAATAAACGAAAAGTACCACCCACCCATACCCACTTCAACACCAACTAGCTGACTCACCAAACAAACCATGAGCACCAAATTCTCCGCGTAGGCCCGTGCTCTGAAAGTGGCAGGGCACTATGAGGTGGTTATGTTGAATGCTCTGCCGGGTGCACTGAAAAACAAAGCAGCAACAAAGTGACTAGCGACATGTGGAGTGCGCTTGATTTTGGATAGGATACGTGATTACCACCAGCAGGTGAGCGTGCCTGTTTATGAGGCGCAAAAATGTCATACATCATGCGACTCGTCCATGGAGCGGGAAGGGAGAGCCGCAGATGATGTTAGAAGCAGAGCACTGCCTCTTGATGGGCTCATGCATGACGACAACCAGGCAACTGTATCCAAACGGATCGTTTCACATTTAGAGAGCAAAACTGGGAGCTGACGAAAAATATACGAGCGTCGGGCATTGGCTTGATATCTACCTCTCCTTACGGAAGCCAGATAGCTACTAGTACCATCATCCTTGGCGCCAACTCGACATTATCATCATCATCTTCATCAACAGCAGGAGCAAATTGTGTGTGTGTGTGTGCTTGTGTAAGTATATCCTGTTCTCGAAGCGTGCTGGCACAAAGTGAATTAAGCAAAACCCAAAGCAGGTGCGCTGGCAATGATATGCTAAAGATTCTTATGTATATAATATACTTATGCACTATAAATATGTTTTTTATTTTGGCACGAGTAAGTGTGTCAGCACAAGTGGCACATGAAGCGTTAAACTATTAAGTATATTTTGGCTCCAGCCGCGATCCCTAAAGGAACAGCGCAAAGTGACTTGATTGCTGGCGCATGCAGCATAAGTTGTTTGGGGGAAAATGTGAAATTTTCAAGCAGCACAGTATATATATATATATATATATATATATATATGTGTTATTAAAATTTCCTTTCTTTTGATTGACCAATGTTATGAACTCTGCTCCACATTACTCTGCCATTTGGTTTAAATTTAATATAAGGGACCTAAAACCTTATAATTTATTTTAATATGACTATATTAATTTGTAGTAGCTAAGAAAATAAAATAATTACAGGCCGAGTGAAATTACCTAAGGTTACAAGTTTAATCAATTTATTCAAGGTATTTATTAAAAGAAAAAATAGGCAATTCAAATTCCAACCCACTTAATAATGATATACATTTAAGGAATGCGAAATTACCTCTGTATGCGGGTGATTACGCGATTGGCTCCATTCATCTTGCTTTTGATTCACAGTATCGCATTGAAAGGAAAGCCTACATGAGTGAAAACTGTAATATATTCATTATATGAAAGGATGGGCAAGTGAGAAATACTTTGAAAGCGCTGCTCAAGCATAAAATGAGAGGAAGGAGCGGTCGTTCTAATTAGAATAATTTCGCGCTGCACTGCGTTTGCCGCCGTTAAAAAGTTTATACCATCTGATGTATGTTATACCATCTGTCGGGTAGATGTCAGAGATGGCCCCAGGTGCTGCCTGCAGGACAAACAACCTTTAGTGTGTGTGTTTGTGTTTGTGTTTGTGTATCATATGAGAAGTGGTTGGCTCTGCTGAGCATGACGAGCAAATGTCAGAGCAAAAGGTCAGTGAACCTGATTCTGTCGACGGGGACAAAGTGACACAGCCCCAGCATAATGAACAAGGGCCCCGGAGCGACATAGCACAAAATAAAACAAACACACACACATACACACAGGTCGCGCACAGAACACATACAGAGCATCACAATGATGACACTAATACTCATCATATGTGGCAAATCTTTGGGTGCTCATCTTTAATTTTTAAAATGTAATTAATTTGCGGAAGAGTTTTCATTTGTTACCGTTTGACTTTGAAATTTCGGTGTGGTGCTTCTTTGGTTTATCGCGTTATTAATTTCCTGTGGCGGGGTCGTCGTTATTGGCAGCAGCCGCCAAAAGTTTTCACATGTTCCGTTTCATGCGGCTTAATTTTAATTAATTTCAATGAGTGCCTGTTTGAGTTGCTGTGTGGCGCAAAAGGATTATATTGCTGCTGTGCTGTACTCATAGATTAATAAGTAAAATAAATAATATTAAAGATACTGAAAATGTTAAAGCAGTGCAGACATATTATTTCATTTAGTTCCTTAATATTTATAAAAATGATGTGATATTCTTCCAATTAAATGTTATTTCAATAAAAGTTCGATATTATTTTTTGCTCAATCGTATGCAAAAATATGCCAAATGTTAATAAATTTAATATGTTGAAAAATTCAGCAGAAATTTGTTTTTGCTTTCATTTATGACTTTATCTGCATATGCAGCAACTTTGTGGGGATATCTCGTTCTGTCTGTTCGTTATATTTAATCATATACATTGTGTTAAGCCACTGTTAAGTGGTGTTGGAAAAAAAGGGGATATGTTTATCGCCCTTGTTCCAATTATTGTTAAATTGTTGAGCTGAATCGCAAATACATTCGTTGTGAGCGAATTTGCTAATATCTTTGTGTTTTCCCAAACAAATACATAAATCAATTTGGATTTTTTCAAATCATACTTTGACATGTTTTGGCTTTGCGATTGAATCGACAAAAAAGCAAAGTGTCAACAAAATTTTAGCAAGCGCAAAAATCAGAGACAATAACTAAACTCAGAAGTGCTTGGCAGTTGAAAAAGTATAAGGACCAACTTGTGGCTGAAAGTGGGTGTGGAAGATGGGTAATCGAATAAAGCGAACCGAATGGTACACATTGAAGTCAGACAGTCAGTGGATACGACACACACACTTGAATTGAATTGGCACAGTAAGACGGAAACGGAAACCCAATTTTTGCGGCGCACTGGCACAGTACAAATTTAATGGAGCGCAAATTTTTATTGTTTTTACTTCAAATCTCAAGTTCGTTTCGTTTTGCTTGTATCCGTGTTCTATTTACATGCTCGAGCTTTTGTATTCGCTTTCTTCACATTGTATGCATACTTTTGATTTAGGTTTCGCTATTTGCTTTTCTCGACCACTGGTATTTATTTAGCTGCGAACGCTCATCTCTATATTTATGTATATATATATATTCTGGTCAGTGGGTGGTAGAAACAAAAATTTGTTATTATTTTTTTATTTTTTGCTTTCGCTTTGTTCTAGCCTCGGGCCACCTTTGTTATTATATTTTGGATCCGCTGAAAAGCCAAAGGACGACTTGTTGTCAATGTAATTTGAGTCTCAGGCCACGTTTTTCATCTCTGCTTTGCTACCTATGATTACGCATACGCTCCGCTGCACAATGCTATTGTAATTAGACTCAGTGGCCGTATTGTCGTTGGAATACTTTCTGCCGACGCTGAACACAGAAAGTACAGTTTTTTTTAGGGCGTGCGATGCCAATCGGAAGAAATTTGAAATGTAAGACAAACGGTAGAAAACAATGTCGAAACTGCCTCAAGGTAATTGTCGAACGATTATACCAGCTTTTGAAAATAACAAAACAAATTTTGTTTATATGATATTAAAAGCCCTAAGATTCTAAGCAATCAGATTACATTTGTTTTAAAAAAAGTTCAAATCTAGTAATCTATCATTTATAAAGTAACATTTATATATACTTCTAAAATTTTAGTGACTATATTTATTTTACACAATGATTGAAGATAGCAATAATACCTATTCGGATGATCAAAATCATCCACTGTTTGATATCCAAATGAAAAACACAATAATTCGACCTGTGTCCTATATTTCACCGTTTGTTTTGTCAAGCGAATTGGAAAAATGTTTAGATGCGAACTTTGCTACAACTGTAGACGAATTCAATGCGGATTTTTCAATGCTCGTCAATAATCTGAACACCTCTGGGACAGCTATCCACAAGCTTAAAATTATGCCAGAAAAATATGTCATGTCAATTGCGAATACAAAAGAACAACTATCTTTAGAATCACAGAAGACAGCAAGTGATGAGCAAAATGACAGTGGATTTTACTTTGTAGCAGATCTGGATAAGTTAGAGAAAGCTTCTGCCTCTGAGAATATTGCACCACCGTCCGCGGTACATCCATCCTCAAGGATACTCCGTGGGCTTCTTTCGAACAGATTTCTTGGGCCACAGAGTGTAAGGAATTCCTTTGTAGAAGCAAAACAATTGAAAATCAATCTCATTAATCAGGATCAAATCAAGAGTACAAAAAAAAAGTTAATGCAGCCAGATAAGTCAACTGATTTATCAGGTTGGTTCCGATCTACAGTACATTTTCCTTCAATACTAAAGTATCTTTTTAATAGCTATTTCCAGCCAAGACATGGTCATTTCCTTACATTTTCAAAAACGTAATAAATAAATTGAGCTTGTTAACGTAGCAATCAAAAATGGAGAATCTGATGAAGTATGAAGGGAATGGACTAAAGAGCTAGTAACGAAAGAAGACACAATAAAAACTGGTCCAATTCAGAACAACTGAGTGTAAATATTGCACAACTTTGGGAGGGCTGTCCGAAGGGAATTCTTCAACTTTTGTTAGACTAGTTTTTTTTGGCCAAATCGCGTTAGAATTGTATTATAGTATATATAGTGACATAATTGTGTTCGCTGAATTTTATCTGTGTATTGATTCGCAAAATAAAAAGATTTACTGAAAATTTGTTTTTTATAAATAAATATAATGTAATGTAATGCAGCAGTCAAAACTAAATCATATCTCTTTCTCAAACACGCCTGCTTAATTTACTTTATTCACACCGATAGAGCTTTTCCTTTATTTTTATTTTCAAGTCTATTATCTATTATTATAATTAGTATTATTTTATTTTATTATGATTGTCAGTTTATGGCTGAGTGGTTTATAACATGGCTAACTATCGTATAAAAGGTCAGCTGATTCATTCGTTGCTATGAACAAAATAAATCCGTTGCCTACCGAGTCTCCATGGGTTGTCATAATAAAACCGGCATTCGAATTCGTTGCCATAACAAATTGTTAAGTGCATTGATCAAACAAACCCGCCGGATTAACTCAAATGCAAGACTGGTAAAGAAAACGAATACAGTAAAAGTAATGGAATCGGAGAAATTGAATGAATTAAATAGGCAAATCAATGAGATTAAGAAGCGCATTTTATTGGCTGGTGAGTTTAATTTGAAATATGAGATACATTTGTGTAAAACGGTTCTGAATGCGCTATGCGTTTTTGCAGAAGGTCAAAAGACGGCCAACGCCGCGGAGTGGCAAAAGCAAAATCGCATCAACTGTGACACAATTGGATCACTGAAAAAGGACATCAAGGAACTGACAGTTAAGGTAAGTCGACTGCGGCATCCGCTACAGCGTCCGGTGGTCATTAAGGAACCCAGCGCGGAGCCGCGCAAAAAACAGAGTGCCACGCCCACTATAATTGTGGGTAAGGCTACATATCCCATCGGAGCCAAAAATGCCGAAGATGCTATTTTTTTGACCGATCTGAAAATCACAGAGGGTCGCAAGCAGATGGACCTGCTGCGTCATCGATTCAAGACACGACAGCAGCACTTTAGCCGACTGGTGGAGAAATACCGAGAGCTGTTGGCCAACAAGGAGGCACAGAATCAAAATTTGGGCGAGAAGCCACCGGAAACACTCGAGGAGGATTCCAATCGAAAGGTGAGCGATTTCTGCGTTTTCTATAAATGAACATGATATTTGAACGCATTTCCATAGCTTGTCTGTCAGCTGGAAAATGAGATCCATCGCACCAATGTGCAGTGGATGGAGGCGGAGCATATACGCAAGAAATACCGATCCATTGAAGCCTCTCTCATGACCGATGCAGAGCGTTTTGAGCGCAGTCTGCGCGAACTGGAGCATTCACTCAGCGAACAGAAGGCGGAGATTGAACGACTGCAGCAGGTGCACAACGAAGCCATTGAAATGCGTGATGGGGCAAAAGTAATTCTGCAGCGCCAAGAGCAACAGGCCAATCTTTCGCAGAAGACACGCGAGCGTCAGGCTTTGGACTTTCGCAAGCAGGTGGAGGCGCGTAAGCTGGAACTGGAGCGCATTGGACGAAAACTGTTTGCTGAGACCAAGACGCTGGTGCATCAGGACAGCGTTGGCTCCAGTTCCGGTGATCAGCACACGGCTAAGACGGAGAACGGGGAGGAGGAGCCGGCATCACAGCTGGAGAGCGTTACTAGCGACATGGAATCCCTGTTCAAGCAACTGATGGAGGCATCCGGCGCTACCTCACCCTTCGAAGTCTTCGAGCGCTTTAGCGCCCAAAAAGAGTCGGCCGCTCGTCTGACCTACTTGCGAAAGGCGGCCGAAGCCGAGAAGGCCAACCTGGAGGCAGAGCGCGAAGCACTCTCAAGCGAGCTGGAGGCCTCCAAGTTTTCCGATGTTAAAGAGAGTGAAGTGTAAGTGCAAAAGCTATGCGCTACCACAAGAAAGTTACTAATACCACTGTTTCTCAAAGTAATCAGGAGGTCATCGAACAGATCAAAAATAATATTGCTGGCAAGGAGCAAGATCGCAATAAGGACACCGAAGCCGCTGACAAGTCTATGGGTGTACTTAAATATCTCAAGGAGCGCATTTGCGAGATGATATTCAAGGTGCAGGAGGTGGACGAGAGCAACATCGATATGCGAGAGCGTAATCTTCACATCAGCGTCGCAGAGTTGCCCAACTTTCTCACACACACCGCCCAGGATGAGGACTTGATTGAGGTAACAGCTCTTTGAAGTCGGGACACGTTCAATCCAACATAAATTCTCCATTGCCAGATACTTAAGTTGAAAATTAAACGCTGCCAGGAGCTCAGCAGGCCAGAGGATGTGCCTCCACTTGAAATTCCCAAGCTTGATCTAGAGGACGACGAGGAGTCCTTTGATCAGTTAGAGCCACCCAAATCCCCATCGGTGCCCGAGGGCGAGAAGCCACAACCGATGCCAATGTGCTACTATAATTTGTTCGCTGGTCGCGCACAACGGGCGGCCGGCACTTCCTCATCCTCGCCAGAGCAGGCACCGGCTGTGGGTGAGTGAATATGTGAATCAGTTCAATGGTAGGCAGTCAATGTTAATGAGTTTCCCTTACTCTAACTCACAGTGGCCACTGCCGACGATGATAATGAGGTGCCCTCACGCAACTATCTCAAACGCCAATCTGTGCTTATTGTGGACTCGAAGTCGAGACGGAAGCCATTCCGACCACCACCCGGTGCCAGACGCAAGTAGTTTGCTAGTTGGTGCTATGATTATAAATGTAATAATTGTATTTAATTGCCTTTGCGTGTAATAAACATAGTTAAATGTTTTATTGTTCTTTTAATTAAGCAAGGTAAGAAAGTCTGAATGCTGAATTTATCTAGCATAACAAAAAGCCAGCTGCGATATTATAAATTTTTGTTTTAACCGTAAAAATCTAATAGTTTTCACTTCATTGAATATTCTCCTCTCTTAAATTGATATAAATCTATTTTAATGCAGCTTTAAGATATGTTGAAGTCCAAAATACACGGCAGACTGGATCATACTTACTTATTTGTGTTCTCTTTCTCTATAATTAAAATTTATTCGTATATTTATTTCGATTCCCCTCTGAGACGTAAAAACCATAATTTAAGTAAATCTCATTTATTGTTGGCCAGTATTTATTGGAACAATAAACTAAGAGGTGAAAATTGTAATAAAAGTGTGCAGCGACTTTAAATCCCACTTGTGCGATTTAAAACTTATCGAAGATTGCGTCTACTACATATTTGGATGCTGTCGCTCCGACTGGATGAATGTCGGCGGCTTCAGTCAAATGACATAACAAATAGCTACCCGAAGGATGCTGTTAGTCGGGACGACAAGAGTAAACAATATTTATTGCAGCGCGGAGGACGACCAAGCTGACGGCAAATGAAGTGCAAAGCATTACAGACTACGAACCGCTACTGTTGCAAGGGAAGCAAACTTTAAAAAATTGTTTACACCAGTGAAAGCAGACGAGCTGGAGTATGAGTTCGGCTGTCTTTCCAACTTGCAACACTAATAAAGCGCAGCGCAGCAGCTGACGATGAGCAATCAACGCCAGACTGACGACACACGGGGATGGTGGACTATGCATGAGGCAGCTGCTAAGACCAGTGGCGAAGTGCAAACAAAGACGCCTGATGATCTATTTAATGTTCTGTTGCCGGAAATGCGCAGAGCGAATAGATGATGAAGGAATGGAATGGTGGCCGTGCCGGGCCGGATGAGGGATCTGTGGTGAGTATGTCATCTAGATGTCAACAACAACGACATAAAGAACAACAAAAACGGCTCGATGTCAACACAGCCATATATTGGCAGCTGAGCCAGATACGTATACTATATAATAACGGCAAGGGAAAAAAAGCGAAACTTCGCACTGGTCTCCTGCCAAAGTCAGCAACTCATTCTCTTGGGCCTGGTAGGGGAAGTCGGGTAATCCATTCGACAGACAGAAAAACAAAAGACGGAAGCCAAAGCTTTAGAATATTAGTCTCATTGTGCCGTTGGCTGCTGGCATTGGCCCTGACAGCTCAAAAGGTTGCAATCTGCGCCAGAGAAATTCAAGGATACTAAACGAGTGCCCAGCATAGGACAGGCGGAAGCAGAAGGAAACCACTAACTGTCGCTTCAAAGGCAGGTACAAAACACTGGATAATGCGCAATCACAATTTCAATGCATTTTAAATTATTTTTGCCATGGCATGAATAATGATTTAGATTTAGATGCCTTATTAAAGAGGCTGGTTAATAACGTTCCAGCAGATTTTCTTGGAATTAAATTCAGCTTTCGTTTATGTATATTTAAAAATAGGAAAATCTAACTTAATGAAGTAAGTCGCCTGAACACGTCTAAGAACTTAATGAAAGCGTCTTAAACTAAATGGCATAGAAAATAAAACGAAGGATAAAAACTTAATTTATCGGTTCTAGTTTAAGTCACTCACAGCATTGACGCTATAATAAACGAAAGAGTGGGAAAGAAAAGTGGAAAAGCAAAGCTGTTAAACGTTTAATTACTCTTTTTTAAGAACAAGTATCTAGTTACTTACCTGGCAAAATACCCTAAGATAGAGCTATTCTCATGGCAACCGTTAATTCACCTGGCGGCTGACTCAGCAGCCACGCCCAATTTGAAAGCAATTAGGGATTTCAATCTCGTAACGGCAGTAAATCAAACGCCCATCGATTGCCCAACAGCAACTAATTTTAATCCAAGCGACCATTAGTGGGGGTCCGTGCGAGAGTGAGGCTGTGAACTACAGAGGTGAAGCCGGAGTCGTTCAATAAAACCGCAAAACAATAAATTTAAATTTCGCTTGCCGTGAAGTAAAACTTTTTAGCTGTGTTTTAAACTACAACCAAAAAGAGCCGAACATGTGCGTTTGTGCATGTATTATTGTGTGTGAGTGTGTTTGTGTGTGTGTGTGTGTGTGTGTTTGACAGTCAGGCAAATAAATGAGCGGAAACGGAAACGGTTCGGGTTGCTGCCGGGACATTTGGGTCTCTGTCTCGCTCTCTTCATCGTTGCCTTTCGGCCGCGGGCTACACAACACTGCGAATGATAAATAACGTAATTTCTTTATAACTTTTCATTCAAATTTTTCGAAATGCTTTTTGGGCTACGCTTGTTGCTGGCGCGCCTTTGGACGTCGTTGGTCCGTTTGGCTGCTTGTTGTTAAGTAAAATAAATTGCGATTCCATGTAATAAAAGTCAATCATAATAATTCAATGACTCATCGTATTTTGCGCTCCATTTTCGAGGCCACAATGGTTTGTTCAAACCATTGCCCACTACACTTATCTCTTTACTTAACATTTTTCCCAATCTGCTCTCGAAACAAGTTAAGCTGAAAAAAAAATTAGTTTAAATTGTTTACAAGTACAAAAAAAACTGTTTTTCTTTTTCACAAATATTACATGGAGAACGAGCACCCAACTGACTAGCAAATATCGTTTTATGTTTTTTTTTGTAGTTCTTCGGTATCTTCGATGGTGTCGCGAACTTTATCATAAAACTGGACAACATTCTGAGGAAAATCGTTGTTCACCAGATGTTGCCGACCTTCCATGCCAAAAATAGAGTGTGAAAAAAATCGCTAAAATTATTGACTAAGCATAAATTTCTGTAAAGCATATCTCATCTTTCTTTGTTGTTTTTTTCGGTTGTTTGCTGTTTGGGGGACTAACGAATGAAGTGGAAGTCCGCAGATAGACAGCAGATACATAAATCATTGATTTTGTATCCATCGACTTCAACTGTTAAATGAATGAAACTTAAATAAATATCAAAATAAAGTAAAGTTATATTTTCTCGATTGTAATATGAGCAGGAAGACAATTACCCGTCGGTAGTTAATTAACCATTCATGAAGCATACTGTATAGTTTAAAGAGTACTCCACGCACTCGCCCATTTTTTCATCGAAGTAAGGGTAATCTTCCGGGCACTTTGCCAAACGGTGTGATATTTGATTTCTACAGCTTATATACTCGGTGCAACCCGAGTTTATTGCAGAGACAAATGGTGCATTTAGATTACCACAGCGATCGTACGGGCAGCTGTATGACTCGGGACTAACACATTTCTGACTCCACCATTGGAAGTGAGTGCCCCAAGGACAACTATGCCACCTGGCAACCGCATTGCGAAAGTTGCACGTGTAGTAGCCATAGCAGGTTTGGGCATCTGAAATATGTTGGACACCCAAAGTGTCATCTTGATAAAATTTCGCACAAACAGAGACATCAGTAAGAGGAGGTGGATTCCTGGCAGGCCTGTAGCTATCCCCCTCTCCACTGGGACAATGTTTCGGGCGTATTAACTGGCAACGTCCGTTTTTGTAATTGTAGTAACGAGCAGCTGTACATGCTTGCGGAATACCCATTCCATTCTGACACTCTTTGTAAAGGCCACAATTGAGTGGATCACCCAGAGTGTTGCCATTTGGCATAAAGGCACATATGTCGAGGGTCTCCTGTGGACATCCGCCTACATTAGAGACACATGTTTGCAGACTGTTGCTAAACACATAACCCTCAGCGCAATAGTTCAGCTCATCATCTGCGTCACTATGCCACTCGTCATCACATATTTTATATTTCCTGCAGTCCAAAGGATCAGCTACATATTCTCCTGACTGCCGCTTGGCGCACAGTTCCCAGTGTTGAGGTGCACATCGCACTAGATGCGCCTGCTGGCATGTTCCTGAATAGACATCAAAGAAGCGGCTATCAGGGCACTGTCCTCGAGCTGTCAACTTATTATTTGCACAGTGTCCCCAACCCTGACAGTCACTGGAGTCGCCTATATAGCCAGTTCCTGGCCAGTAACTGCATATTTTCACCATGGAAAGGGCGCTGGTTTGCCACAGAGGCACGGCCAAAACGATGGCATACAACCAGCGGCTGGAAACTAAAGTGACAGATTTTCAACTTCACGTGCTCACAAATGATTTGGTTAATTCTACCTCTCATTGTGATGGTGACTATTTCATTCACTACTATCAACACAACTAAGCTACAGCTGTGAATGTTTGCAGCGCGAAGCAGTAACAAAAACTAATTACTCGTAACTTGTAAGCTTAAAAATGCTTTACGATAAGATTCACAAAATACATGTTAATTATCACATAGTTGAATTGATTCGCATACGTGCATTTGCTGGCTGATAGGGTTCATTCTCAATTGATAGATAGCATATGCGAGCAACAATTGGGCTGTAAAAAAAAGAAGCTCCATAATGAAAACGATGAGTTTGTTTTTCTCGCTGCTCAAAATATTTTAATCCATTTACCCCATAATATGTGCATACTTGTTTGCCTTGAAGTGCTTATGAGACTCAAGGAGTCATGTTATCAGTAATTCAATTCCTTGACATCTGCTTCTTAACTGCAGACCCTTGCCTCAACTACTCTTGAGTTTCATACACTGCCCGATTGCCACTGTTACGTATTCAAGTGTATAAAAAAAGAACAAAAGACTGTAAGAAAAAGTACAACCTAAAATACATGCAAGAAAATGAAAAGAAAAAACAACTTTTCCATGCTTCTGGTCTGGTTGAGTGTCTGTGTGTGTGTGTGTGTGTGTGTGAAACTGGCATCTCGACAACCAGGCAGTTTAAACTCCTTAGTCTCGGCTCGTTGCGTTTATTGACATTTTATGCTTAAGGACATATTTAATATCCTCTTCTTTCGCGCTTTCGATATGACCGCAAAG